ATAGTCGTGAATATATGTTCATTTATCACGGTGCATACTTTCGATTGTCACGGCGAAATTCGTGGACTATCTTTATGCTATGCACCTGTAGTTACCGTAAGATGCCCCACTTACCCACCTCGTAGCCAACTATGTCTGTCGCCAGCGCTAGAAGTATTCGTATTCTTCACTACTATTCTTTAATGGGGTGATCGTGTTTATTATATGTTATCTGTCAAATATCTTCCTCAAAGTCTATATTCTTCTGCACCTACAGCTGTCTCTGGACAACGTGTGCTAGATATCCGGGGTATTATAGAATCTGAATCGGATTTAGAACAGGAAAAGACATCCGATGCAACGACGCATTTGGAATCGTTCCCGGCGCCCACACAGAAACACATAGTCGGGAAGCGGCCTATCGAGAATACTGTGCGCATTTGGACCAATCTGAAGTGGTAGGGATACTCAAAACACCAGAGCATATAGGCTTTGAATGCAATTTGACACGTGCATATTGATGGGAGGAAGGGAGGGTTTACTAATGGTGCAAGTGTGAATTAGCAGACTCAGTTATACTTCGAGACCGGCCACTTGCGACTCCTTTTATTCTTGCAGTGGCTACACTGACTCCGAACACCAGTGGCTGTCCAGCAGCACGAGTTGCCTGGCTTGACATTTTCAACCGCAAAGTGCACCGTGTCGGACACCCTAATGCCGCAAGGGTTATCCTATTTCTTTCGTGAATTAGGCTGTGTTAAGCACACAGTGTGCAGTTCGACGTGCACTTTGATCTGAAAAGGAATACGCTTGCTGGTTGATGGATCTCGCTTTATTGTTGTATTTAGAACATGGATACTCGTATCTTTTACGGGTGATAAGTGTATATTCCATTTCGCTGGCACTCCTTGATTTGACAAGAAGATGGCTGCGGCGTACTTCAAATGATTGAGTCAACGTACATACGAATTGACAGCTTGGCGGTGAGTCAATTATAGCTCCATGTGCATTGTAGACTCTGGGGGCGTGTTCCGCTCAGGGTTGAACCAACAGGCGAAAGCGATGATGACGTACGTGGAAATCAACATGATGCCCTGCAAGTAGAAGCAAATTGTTTGTGAGAATGCTACCCTCGAATCGAAAAATGATAGATGGTCGAACGGGTCGCGAAGACGCCATCTTGCTCGTAAGGCGACAGGTTGTACTCAAGAAGTAAATAAAATTAAAAAAAGAGGAAAGAAACGGATGGTCATCCCTCATAGCCACTCCCCTGTCTCACAAGTTTGTCACGAATGCGTATGAGAGCACGGACAATGAATACTACACTCACCTCCAACCAATTGCTCTTTCCGTCCATTAGGGTCAAGTTCACAATCAATACAGTAAGCACCAACAGTCCAGTATCAAAGATTCTAAAGTTCAAGTCCATGGGCTGGTCGATGACCCACCCAGCCAGGGTAATAACTGGGATAACGAACAAGGCAATCTGCGTGGATGATCCGACGGCCACACCTGTTGTATCGGGGACATATTGCGATTAGAAACGTCGCGAACTTATAACAAGTATCCCTACGTATGTCAGAGACTCGCGCATCTTTGTTTAGGAGTAAAGCGCATACTAGACCGACACCGCGTTGCTCAACAGGAATGATGTCGCCGCAGACAGCTAAATCCTAGTGGGAGTTCTTGAATCCCGAGCAAAATCAATCAGAGGTAGAAGATAACGATCGTTGATGTGTACAAGGAAGCGTTGGTGGTTTTTGGTATGTATTATTTCAGAAAGAGCTGCTGTATCCATAAATCTATATTCGCATCACCATACACGCGCCAATTAAATTGATGCAACCGAGACATACCAATAGCGAGATCCATTTTATTCTTCATCGCAACTGTAACTGCTGTCAAATGTTCGGCAGCATTTCCCACCAACGGCAACAGAATCACCCCGATGAACGCTTCAGACATGAAGCCAGACATCACTTCGATCGAACCTGAAACGTCAATTGCAAATTTCAATCACACCCAGTGGTGTTAAATAGGCGATGCGCATTAAAGTAGAAACCTTTGCAGCAATTAGCAATGGCCTTAACTAAAGGCAATGGGAGGGAGCAGCTCCTACAGAATCAGAATGGACAAATAAAATAAGACAACGAACCCAAATGGAATATGATACTGCGCATGACACTGAATTTGTACTCTTTCTGAATTGGTGTGCCCAACGAATTGATGAATAGTAGGAATGATTACCTGTAAGGGCCTCAGAGCAGACAGCAACGATCAACGTAACGACAATCAGCATCACAGTGGCGCCAGCAGGTGATAGAATCGGGACGACGTCGTCCTCCTCGTCCTCTTCAGACTCAAAAAAGTCAGAATGAGTCTTGAGCTGAAACACCAGGTACATGATGTAAACGAAGCCCAGGATGATAGCTACCACTCGGGAGAGCATGATCTGTATGAAAGTCAGAACGATGATTATTAATTAGGCAGCTACGGGCAGATTTCAGACACGTACTGGGATTCATTCTTTAGCTTGGACAGACTGCTAAGTGCTGCATCGAAGCAAGACTCAGTCAGGCATATACTACTGGTTACGTATACCCACTCGACCGTGAGAACGCATTCAGCCTGTGAAATCGGGAGTTTCAGACTTTGCATGGACAAGAGTGAGGATGTCGCGTCTTATTCTAGACACAGGCGAAACAAAGTAGCACACCAAGAATACAATAGAACGAATAGTCTGAACCAAGAACAAGAAAACTTCACTTGGCGTCAAAAACTAGTGAGTTGCATGCTATAAACAAATTTTATGTACGCATGCACTAACCCAACACACGATCCTGGAGCGTGTTAGTCGTATATTTCGGAGGGCAAATATCATGTATATTTCTGCAATAAAGCACTTCATATCTATGGTTTACAAACACTGGCTTTTTAAACCCCGTGAAACGAGGCATGAGGTTTTCCGAGGGATATAGCTTATAAACATATTACTTTGAATCAGATGAACAATCGGAATTCCCACGTGAAACTCGTATAAATGTATCTGTATATATTTAAAGATGTACAAATATGTATATATAGTCAAATATACACCACTCACCTCGTCGTCAGGATACAAAAGCTTTTGTTGGGCACCAGGTAGCACATTGTGGAATAGTGCGGGTACACACAGACCGATACACGACACTAGCAGTAGTGACGCAAAGGTACCTGCTCCCGTAAGGTTAAAACTTTGCTCTGGGGGGTTCTTGATGCCTGGTGAGAGGACGGTGTAAATTTCGTATTGGTTGAGCTTTTAAAGTACAGAGGGTCGTTATCATGAAGAAGATCGTGACCGAAATGCTTATACATCGGCATCTACCACGCTCTGCGATATCAAATGTAGTATTCTTTTCAGGATCTTACCTGTGTGCGACACATTCTTGATACAGAATTTAATATAATTTTGAAGCTTTCTATTGGCCGTTATTAACAATAGCTTCCCGTATATACACCAGTGAGCCAACCGATTCTAATAGAAAACTTGAAAAAAGCAATGTGATTGTTGCGGAGCAAGTTCTACGCCTTATGTTGACTAAATATATCGCTTGTATGCAAGCTCGAATCTAAGGCCAACCCAGAGCTTAAAAAGCAATATACTGGTTTGCTTTGCCACTACACTCGGCAATTTTGATTCCTTCTCCAAATGTTGAAGCAGTCATCCACGTTTCCACGATGCAATTTTACGTCTACAAGTACACCTCCCTCATTTAAATCACCCACATATACCCGTCCGTGTATTCTTCTGAATAACCACTGGTTCAAACAATCATACTCCACTCATTGGGAAACTTACCACCGAAGAAGAAACTCATTCCCAAAACAAGCAACAAGTTGGATAAGATTGACCCTAAAAGAGATCCCTGGACGACGTTGATTAGTCCCTTTTGCAGCGCTGCGATCGAAAGAATGAGTTCCACAGCATTTCCGAACGTAGCATTAAGTAGCCCCCCTACGGTTTCTCCGGTTCGTAAGGCTAGTTCCTTAGAAAAATGAAAATATGCACTGTATATAAGTAAATTAAGCAAGCCTTCTAAGAACAGAGTAGTACATTGTCTACAAAACCAACTTCTGATGAAGTTCGGTCATTGTAGCTTTCAACAGATAAGAGAATAGGTATGTAGGACAGTCTACTAGACAATCGATGATGACAACTTCAATAAAATTCCGATATATTCGCATCAAACAAAATGAATGGGTCAATTGATCCTTGCTTTGTGATGACAGAAAGCAGCAGGTGGCTGGTAATCAATTTAAAACAACGATAAACCCGCCCATAATTGATGAGACTGCTGTGAATTTGAAATTTGAATGTGCCTCTTGGCGAAAAAAAGATAGATACAAACCACAAATCAGAATCATATAGGCACGGTCGCATACTCATTATATCGATGAGTATGATTGTGCAAATCATGACGAAGCAAGCGAGTGCATTTTTTATAGACTAACAGTACTTACAGCATGTTCTTATGATATCGAGGCGTGCAAATCAAGAGTACATACCTCAGTGGCTGAACCTAGCAGGTTTGCCAACGGGATAATTGCAATGAAGTTCAGCACGAAGATGATGGGTTTTGACCACTGTTGACAAGAAAGCCGATAGTTAGAAATGAAAATCTGATGTGTAAATAGAATTTTCTCCGCGTACACACCTCGCCATAAAACAGACAACCCGCGAACTAGCGGCATGCAAAATGGAAATAGCAAACGGTAGAAACTGACCTCTGCCTTATAAATGGGCAACATGGGTTTTTTTTTGCCATTTTCTGGGAAGCTACGTAAAAAATACGGCACTAAAGCATGCAGCCTGTAAATCCTTCAGACACAAACAATATCTTTCAGGGCAGAGACAATATAAACCACCGCACAATATCCCATACTGTGGATCGACCACGGTACATACTTCCAGGTACTCTGACAGAATCGCTGGTGGCAGGACCAGTAGAAAGATGTTGATGTACCACTGCTCTACCATCATGTCCTTGATTCCAATTAGATCGGACACAATCCCTGAAATGTTCAAGAGCAGGCTCAAGTGAGAAAACGACAGGTGTACCACCATCGTGATAAATCCAGGAATACATAAGATTTAGTTAGGCATACTGGGATATTAGAAGCGCGTGAAGTTGAGCGCACTACAATGTTGTATTAGCAGAAATCAGATTTGCGAACTTCAATTGCTCGTACTTTTTCAGATGTCAAAACGCAATGTATACTTGCTCGTGAGCGTGCAAATGTGTTCGCTTAGAGTACAGGTACAGGCGGTTCATTTTGCTCACTACCGCATCCGCAGTTCATGATCCTCTGTGCCAAGACATAGTGATACGATAAAAGTTTCTTTCCAAGTGCGAATGAGTGCAAAGTACGTGAATATAAGAACACGTAGTATGCACAGTTTATAATAACCCCTAAGCTGACAAACATCTGGAAATACTTATCGATGCGTTTCCAAAGCTTATTTGCATAAAAGAATGTGCTCCGTGTACAACTGAAGTTGAAGATACAAAAAACCAGCGGTTAAACTCCACTGAGCGCGTGTTGGTGTCGCAAAACGAAATACGCTCAAATGCTCGGTATTCTACTCCGGACTTCAAATTCAATTTGCACAGACGTGTACAACGGGCTGAATTTAACAACCTCGCGCATAAAATATTATCTGATGGACATCCCATGATTGCAGCTTTACATAGGCATACCCACAAAATATTGAAATGCACACAATGATGTCATATGACAAGCTATCATACAATTGCGGCCTTTCACTTCACCATCTCGGCGTGATCCATTTGATGATTCACCATTCAGCAGAGGTTCGCTCTCAGTAATATGTTGACCGCGGCTATCAAGTGTCTTTTTGCGCATGTCTCTCAAAAGCTCCTTACGAGACATAGTTTTAATTGCCCTGGAGTAGATGCAATATGGTTTTAACAGCGCGTTTACAATCAATTCGCACAGTTTCGAGTATGTCATTAATGATCGCTGCAAATTATACACATAGCCAGGTGTGTAGGCGTGAAGGCATGAGATGTTCCAACTAGTATAAGTTAATACAAATTTTGAAATAATCTACTCACTGTACATATATAAAAATAAAAATAAAAATAAATAATATATATATATATATATATAAACATATATATATATATAATATATATGTATATATATACATTTATATATTATATTATATATATATATATATATATATATATAAGTAAGTATATATATAATATATATATATAATATATATATATATATATATATATAGACTNTGTGTTGTGGTTGTG